ATCAATAACTGCTCACTTATTTGGAAATACAAACTTTACATCTCTTAGATCCCTAGATTAATCAATGCACAATGGTATTGTCGCACATATATCAGACAACAACATGGACGGGGTCCTGCCAACAGAGCTTGGAAATCTCAAACTGATTAAAATGTTTGGGAGTGGGAATCAGTGTGTTGGAAGTATTCCAACAGAGTTTGGGAAGCGGAGAGGGCTGGCAAACTTTGACCTCCAATCCAATCAGCTCTCTGGGAATCTGCCGAGTGAGCTAGGGCTCCTTCCTAAGGTGAAGTATCTAAAGTTGGGAGGAAATCTGGGAATCAGGGGAAGCATACGACCAGACAAACTTGAGCAACACCGTCAAGGAATTTGATCTAAGTGGCACGTCCATCTCTGGTACCATCCCAGATGCGCTCTGTGGCATCGAGAAACTTGTGTTTGACTGTTCCCCCACAAGACTTTGTGGCTGTGGCACTCAGTGTCCTTGTGGCTGATCCCCCCAACACACAACTGAGAGCTGATGCTTGCGTCCTACCGTAGCTAGAACAGAAATCTTCAGTAGCTCAGTTAACTTCCCTACTCTAGCCCCCCTTTATATATGATTCAGATTCGATTCAATGGTTGCGGGAGGAAAATCTTACGGTGACGGTTCGAGTACTCTACTACTGTACATGCATCATGACCGGTAGCGGAGCCAACAACTAACATCGCTCGATTGATTCGATGATTCAAACCATGGGTGCAGCTACCGGTACCGGTAGCAAGACAATACCGTACCTTGCTTGAAAGCATAGCAAGAGGTTGGCCTCTGTGACTCTGTCTGGCTGTGCTGGGCGGAGGACCACAGCTACAACCTTGACTGAAGCAACTGCCTTGTTTGATTCAGATACTGTTGCCACATGTACATGTATACCAGCAAGACGTCACCAATCAAAACCTACACCACAATACCAAAGCTAGCTACCAAAGGCCATCGTTCCATGCCTTGAGCTTCAAGTTGTCGCTGAGATCAACCACAGTGCCAATGAAGCAGGACGCACGAAGGCTGCAAGACTTATCGGTTCAGCTTCTGTGCAACGTTGGCGACACGAGAGCCTAACCTTCGGGCTTGATCCAAGAACATGGGAGAAACTAGTTGCCCCGGTGGCAAGTAGCAAGATGGAGGAAACAACGCCACATCATCGCTGTCGTCGTTTTCTGGATATGGCATGAATGGCGCCTGCGCAGTAATGGCTGCGACACCAAACGAGGATTCCCATGTCTCCCCTCCTACAAGGATCATTCGAAAAACCATCATGGTCTTGAGCAGATTGTTCAGGGTCGATTCTTGGCCGGCAGTGATACCTCCGGCGGTGACAAAGGCGGCGCCAAGCTTCGCGTTGCTGCCATCGACACGAGTAATGTCCCATTGTCGATCGATCCACTGTTGCACGGCTGGATGTACATTGGCATTTTCGACAGAGGATCCCAAAATTACTGCATCCGCAGCCAGGACGTCTTGAAAGGTACATGTAGCACTTGCCACTGTCTTGAGCTGAATGTTGGTGGGCAATGCAAAGTCAGAAGATGCAGCCGATTGGCAGCCCTCGTAAATGGCCTGTGCCATGATCTTTTGCCAGGGATCTTCCTCTGGGCCATAAACAATGAGAATGCCAACTGGGTTGTTGGTGTACGACTTTTGGTCGTTTGAAGTTGATGATGAGAGCTCCACCTTGGAAAGCAAGTTTGGTTGCACACTCTTTGTGGCACGTTCATGGTTCAAGTCGCCTCGAGCCCAGAATGAGCCAACTTGATGGCTTCTACCTGCAGGTTTGTCGAATTCTTGAAGCCGATAGAGTAGTAGATGAGATAATGCAATCAAGTAGGCTAGTGCTGCCAATGCCAACCATGCTACAGTGCCACCACCCCAGCAGACTCGAATAATCTCACTTTGTCTTGACCTCTCCTGAATACTACATGTAGTTGTTTTCGGGTGCGGTTGAAGTGGCGCCGTCTCGTCGATCAGATCCGCATCCGTATCCGTACCATACGGCAAGCAGCTACCAGCGGTGCCTTGTTGGGGTACCTTCATTATTGCAACCTCTCGACGAGATGAGCGAGCTAACAAATCCTCCAAGGAGCCAGTCACATCGTGCTGTACCGAAACGGAATTCTTTTGGACGCACAGAAAGAGAAAGCCATCTCATTTTTCTTCCACGACTGAGACACATCATTTTTTGATGCCGCTTAGACGTTTTGGCGAAGGAAATTTTGACTGGACAAAACCACCAAGAAGCAACCACTTCATTCAGTTGGTTTGATTGACAACACTTACTTTGATCAGAATCGATCGACACTCCACGGTAGACCTCATACTAACTAACTAAACCAATAACTTCTCGTCCAAAAACCTCCACGATGACGATGATCACACCTGAACGCGTGGCCAATGCGGCTGCAAACATGAAGATCGTTCATTCGGCCTCTGATCTGGACTGCTCCGCATTGTTGGAAGAAAAGAAATCCGTCGATACAGTCGATATGGTGGTTTCCTCTTTCAAGGAATCCTTTGCTATTGAACAGCTTGGTCAGAAGCCACCTGTGTATCAGCACAAGATATCCAATGGTAAGTGAATGAAAGACTGAGTCCAGTTGAGTCGAGTGAGGAATGACAACAAGAAGTCTTGCAGCGTGGAATTATCCAATCGCCAGCAATGATCTCAACGCTTGCTATTGTACTGTTTGGTTGACTGTCATTCGTCTCATTTTACTTTTGTCTTTACGTTGATTCACAGCCCCTGGATCCAAGTTCCTCCCTGAAAAGGGACGCTATGTACTGTATGCTTCGAGAGCTTGCCCCGAATCCCATCGAGCTCTCCTCGTTCGCACCCTGAAGGGATTGGAAGAGGTTATCTCTGTCAAGTATGTGCACCCTCAAGCTGGTAACAATCTGCTGCGAAAGTGGGTCGTCGACCATGACATTTTGGACGATTCCATGGCCAGTTTGAAGAGTGACGAAGGGGAATTTGCCACTGTTGCTGACATCTACAAGAAGGAAAAGGATTCCGTTAGCAACACCATTCCTCTTTTGTATGACCAAGAACACCATTGCATTGTCAATAATAATGCAAATGATATCGTTGCCATGCTCAACTCATGCTTCATCCAGTTTTGCAAGAATCCCCAGGTGGATCTGTTTCCTGAACTACCCAACCTGCAACAGTTGCAAGCGTGGTTGTACCCATTGCTGCAATTGGCTCCGTCCAGCTTGCCACCGTATCATTACAATGTGTCTCCTCTTGAATTGGAGTACGCCTTTCGCCGGGCCACCAGCATCCTTCAAAAGCAACGATACCTCTCCAGTCACACTACCATGACGGAAGCGGATCTTCGCCTGTTCGTGGCATTGGTACGATACGATGCCGTCTATTCCAAGTATCTCGAGTGTCCTCCCCAGCTGCTACACAACGCCGCTTTGTTGGATTACTGTCGCGACATCTATCAACTCCCAGGTGTTGCAGAGACGGTCCGAATGGACGAGATCAGGGCTCATTTCCTGGGGGGTAAACGACTGCCTGTGGCAAACATTCAAGAATCCTTGGTGGAACAGCTCGAGGTGCCACACAAGCGGGATCAGTTGTAACTGGATCGAATGATTGATTCAATCCGACAACTCAAAAGACCAAGATGCGACAAGTCAAGCCTGGCACGGTACGCCACGTTCAAGTTATAATATCCAAACTCCACGATCTCAAGCACAATCGCAACACCTTCCTCATACACATGGGTATGTAGCATTCAAATAATTCAATGTACTAAATTATAACGACTCTCTATTGACAGACGAATGCGTTAGTCTGGCTCCGGGGCTAGGCCGAGCAACTCCTTTTGCTTTTTTTATGCACTCTCCATGCTAATTAATCTTAGCAGCCGATAAGGCACTGCAAAAATGGGCATGTTATCGCTTAGCTAGCACGAATGCCAAGATGCTTCAAAGTCTGCCACCATGCCGGTTTCCTCTGATGAGAGGACCGTCGTTATTAGACCGACATTCGAGATGTTGCATTCATGCCAAGAGAATGCCGAGGCACTGTCAGGATCACTACTACACCCCAAGCACTGCTGAACAGCCGAGTCAATCTTTGAAGTTTCAGCATCAGCAGAGGCTATCATCACTAGAAAGCCACCGCCACCAGCTCCACAGAGAGAAGCTCCAGAAATGAGGCCCTGTTGTTTCAGCTCCTCCATGATGAGACGAACAGCCTCTGGTTCCACTCCGACGTCATCGCCTGCCATGTGCTTTTTCTGTTTCCAGTAGCTATGTAGACACTCAGCCACAGCGTCAATGTCGCCCTTTTGTAGCGCATCTCTCGCTTTGTGTGCCCCATCGACCAGACGATTGGCGCAATCTACAATTTCGGGGGTGCGTAGCGCGAATCGTCTCAATACATTTTGCAAGATGTTCGCTGCCAATCGTGTCTTGCCAGTGAAGGCCAAGAGCAAGCGATCGTCCAGATTCTTTTGGACGGAAGGAGCAACTTCTACTTGTTGAATGGAAAGCCGAATTGGCAACTCACATGGCTTGGTCGAAACAATCTTTGCACCACCGATCAGGCCGTTGACCTGGTCCTGAAAACCACCTCCAGTGCTTAAGATTTGTTCCAACGCCGAAACTGAATCGATGATGTTGCCTGAGCTATCGCTTTCATCACCGGTGGTTGTGTGCTTGATACCAACGCACTGCCCAACAGCCGCAAGGACACAACCACCAAGGATCGAGCTCGTACCCATTCCTGATCCTTGAGGGAGGAGAGACGTGACAGCAATCTCCATGACTACGTCGCCGTTGTGACTCTGACAGAACTCATTGACACGGTCCTGTAAACTCGGAGCGTCGGCTTCACCTTGGGAAGCCTGCAGCTGTTCTAACGAAATCAGGCCCAGACATACCAAGGCACACTTTACCAATGCACCACTTGCACTAGGGTCGCGGGCATCTTTCAAATCCTTCATCTCACGAATCTCCGTGTCGATGGAAGAGACAAGGTCGCATTTCCTACTATCGCGCAATTCAGAGCGTACAAGAATGATGGGAGCGGAATCACTCGAGGCCTCGCGAGGAACGATGCGACATCGGGAGCTGAGGGGCTTCTTTTTGTCAACGGTGACGGCAATGCCAGTGACAGCACTCCCAAATTCATAGCAGATTGGAGGCGTATCGCTCCATCCACCAGACAAGTCCACACGGGCTGGAGAAGTTGCAATAACCCACTGGCCAACCACTGGAGGCAGTCTGTCGGAATTGCCCTTGAGTGCCGCGTTGTCGTTGAGAAACCCAGAAACGCAGATTGCAGTCATTATTCTTGCAATCTCTTCCATGATATCCGAGAACTCTTTCAAGACTGTCTTCACTCCAATCGCTCCTTCATTCGCTTTGATGAATTTCTTGCGAATTGCAACAACTTCGGTGTATGCCTTTTCCCGATCCGCACCAGAAGCATTGTGAGATTGAATCACTTCGAGAAACGTGTTGCAATGTTTGCGAATTTCGGCAGTGATCATGGCCTTTTCGTTCTCTTCAATCGCACCCTCTCGGAAAGTCGCTTCGGCCAGGTTAGCCAACAGCGCACTTTGGACCATGAGAGTTCGGCCACAGACATCATAATGGTGTTGATCAAGCAGTGCTCCCGAAATTACATCGTCCAAACTGCGCACAGCCTCAGTGGCTGGAGAGCTGACAAACTGCATGGTGCTGTCTTCTTTTTCCACTTTCAATGTATCCGCCAGCAGCGGATAAAAGTTACATTCATCATGTTGCCTCCCCCAGAGAATATCAATGATAGACTGGCAATGTTGTTGCCTCTTTTGAGGCACTACTTTGTTAACAAGGTCGCGCCGATACTGAAATTCCTTGTCAGCGTCTGATTGGTTTCGCATTTGTCTCAATGATAACCTCGTTGTCTCCTTCCAACTTTGCAAACTTGCCTTGGCAGTCTCAGGTAGGGTATCCTGAGAGTTGTTGGGCAAATGGTTCACCCATTCCCAAACGGAACTGAAGCTTTTTTTGGTGTTGGAGGAGATGACTGGATGCAGCTTGGCATTCCAAACAGTTCTCTTTTCATCTGCTGGCCATATGTCGTCTGGAGTGAGATTGGCCCAGTTTAGGAACACTTCCATCTCTACTCCAAACAACGTGGATTCAGCCAGATTGTTTTTGATGGGATCGTTCACTCCCAGTGCCATGACAACAAACGATGATGACTCGACGTTGGCATCTTCCGACGGCACCACCGGCATCATTTGCATGCAGGTCTCACTGGGGATCCGAAATGTCGAGTCAGCCATAATAGGACTGCCCTCTAAATGTCTGAGGCCGCTGACAAGACAATCTTTTCCAATCTGAATGGATAGCCCTGGATTAGCGGAAGAGTCCAAATTGCAGAACTCAATCACGCTGCCTTCTCCGATGGACGACACTGAACTGCCCTCCAAAACACTTCCCATAATGATGCAATTTTTGGAAATACAATCATTCTTGTTGTTGCTATTGCTGCCTTGGGAGTCTTTCCACTTGATAAAAAGATCCAACCTTCGAATCAATCCAAGTTCTTGGCCGAAAAAGGTGCAATTTTGAGTGTACAGCTCGTGACGTGTCGGTTTGGCGGCGGATTGTTGTACTGACTGTTGTTCTTCTGCTGTTTGATGATGATGATGTTTGGTGGTCTTGCATCCGTGGACATAAAAGTCAATCAACTCCCGTGTTGTGCCAAGATGCAAGAATTTGCCTTCTGGGACAGCTAGAGCCTGGAATTGAAAGGGCGACAATGCGTCAAAGATACCATTGGCCACTGTCTGGTCCAAATCTGATGCATGATCTTTCAGGTAATTTGCACGATGTTGCTCTTGTGAGAGTTCTTGTCCTGGTTCTCCCACAATGGTCAGAGCCTGTAAAAAGTGCGTATACAGGTCAACTTTTTGCGTCAAGTCTTGGTACGATACTACTTTGTTGCCTTTTTCTTCCTGTTCTTTCATGGCTGCCAAGAGCCCAGGTTTGGTGGTTGTTTTCAAAATTCCACGAGCCAGATCATACAAAGTCCTAGCTGCTTTGGGCAAAAAGGCAATAATGCCATTGTCAATCCAAGCCAACCCAGTAGCATCCGTTGGCACGTTGCCAAAAGTAACAAACGGTTGCGCTTGCAATGTTTCTATTGACGGTTTTTGAAATACACGACGAATGGGAACTTCACATTCTCGTTGATTGGCTTCTTCCAGTGTAGAACAGGCTGGCGGTTCTGCGAGGACGTAGACTCCATGATTTTTGGCCGTCTCCCAGGCGGCTGGGAAAGCCACCCCTAGAACATCTGGAAGCTTGGGATGCTGATCATCATCACCACCATTATTACCATTGCCATTCATATTGAGACTAGTTCCCAATTCTCTGGTACTTTTTCCCTTTTTGTAGTAATGTGGGATGCTGAGTAGACAATCCGAGGCAGCAATGACGACGGATCCTTTGGGCAATCGATGCGATTGGGAAAAAATGCGTGCAACGGAATCCATGCACAACAGAATGGGGTTGCTCAAAATTTCCTTTCCCAAACGGTCGTCCAGCAGAGGCAGATTGGTCCATGCCTTTCCCAGCGCCATTTGCGTAAAACACCGCGAGGAGTCGCCACCGGCATGCAGAATCAAAATGGTCGCATCCGGATCGTCTCCACTCGCCTCCAACGCCGCCAAGGTTCCTCCACCACTGCCACATCGACACCCAAGAGGATCACATGTGGCCAAGAATTTAGTAGTGGGATACGTCTCTTGCAACTCTTGTAGTGGGCCCGTCGTGGCCACTCGCGCGGCACCTTCATCCGGAAAGGTGACTACTACCACAGCAAAAGGATACACATCCATCGATGCCTTGTTGCGGTGTCGACGAGTAGGCGACGCGGTGGGACTGCTGACTCCTCGACTACTTGTATCACTACCACCACAGTTGCTGCTACTAGTGCGATGTTGTTCTTCCATGGTGCCCATGGTCGAATGTGGCTTTTTCGGGCGGTCGAAATGGCGACACGAGGATCGTTCATCAGCGATCATGCATTTTGGTCATTGGTCGCTCGTGCATGCCTGGCGAATTTATACCGGTACCAGGGTTCGCTAACCTGATATATTAGGTTACCGGTTACTTCCAAAAGAACCGGTAACCGGAACCTGATAAAGTAACCTTTACACTAACCTGTTAAAAAAATTCTATCAGGTTAGTAACCGATACACTAACCTAATACGATCTTGTATCAGGTTAGTGTACCGGTTACTTACCAGGTTTTCTATCAGGTTACTTTTCACCGTTTTTGGGGCCATTTTCCTCATTCCGCAGTAGATTAACCCTTGGGTGGCACTACCACTGAAGACCCACACCTTCCAGTTGTCAAGGGTAACTATCTCTGTTATCCAACCACCCTCTCAATCTGCAGTTGTCAAGGGTAACTATCTCTGTTACCTAGCCACCCTCGCATTCTGCAGTTGACTAACCCTTGGGTGGCACTACGAGTCGTCATGGGTGACTATCTCTGATGCCTAACCACCCTATCAACTATCATCTAACTAACTAACAAGGCAAAACACCTTATATACAGTAATAGGTAACTTACTATGACATACCAGGTTACTTTATCAGGTAACCTACAGGTTACCTGATAAATACCTGACACTAACCTATACACTAACCTACTACAAAAATTCTATCAGGTCAGTAACCTATACACTAACCTAGTGCAATTTTCTACCAGGTTAGTGTATAGGTTAGTAACCTATTCCTCAAATCTATCAGGTTAGCGAACCCTGACCGGTACCCCCTCTTGTACTAGTCCTGTCTCAAAATCTTCTGTCTCTGGGCTGAGGTAATAAATCTAATAATAGTATTTATGTTCTTTGAATACCGGTACGATGTACCGCTTATGTCATCCACGCGATTACTGTAAAATGAAAATCTTTGCATTTTCAGAATTCAGAATGCTTTCTCAGATCTCAGCAACTCTGTTATGGTATTGCAGCCATTGAGCCAAAGTCACAGCCAAATAAATGTCTATCATGTCTTGCCGATTGCCTCATTCTCATGGAACCATGCGCTGGATGGCGACCATAGTATTGTTAGTAGCATTGGGCTTGGATCTTGTTCAGTTCTCCTCTCATTCCATGGCGATGGCTCTGGAGGAAGCCTGCCTTCCACAGCCGCCATTGCTGAGAACCACTGAGAAGAAGGCTGTGGATTATCTAGTGAAAGGACTGGAGGAGGTGGAACCTGCCTTTGCTGATGCGTTCGATGGGTTGATGTATGCAGGTCTCCTTCCTGTTGCCAATGACGAACCAGAGGACGACAACGACACCAACAGCACGGCAGAGTTCATGTTTTGGCTCTTTGTTCCGCATCAGCCAACCGTTCCAGACACTATGGTGTTGTGGCTGAATGGTGGTACGTACTGTACAGCGTGCATGCCAGAAGGAGCCCCTTTTGTTCGTTTTGTTGTAATAATATCACATCTCATTCATCTCTCTCCAACTTTTATTAAAATGAATGATACAGGTCCTGGGTGCTCTTCCATTTTGGGAGGCGTTCTGCTGGAAAATGGTCCCGTGACACTTGGACATCAACCCACGGGATCCTGTTGTCTCGATCCAAGCGCTCCCTTGCGGAAAAATCCACATGCATGGACTCAGTCAACTGTCATGCTCTATGTAGAACAACCTACCAATGTGGGATTTTCTCGTGGCGGAAAGCAACCGCAAAGCGAAGACGGCATTAGCCGAGACTTTTACGGCTTTTTGCAATCCTTCTACACGGTATTTTCCGACTTGACAAACCACAGACTCAGCTTGTTTGGCGAGAGCTACGCTGGCTACTTTGTACCTGCCATTGCTCATCGCATTGCCGAGGAAAACGAATGCATCAAGACCAGCGAGGACAACAATTCACGCATCAGAATCCCACTGGATAGCATTGGAATTGGCAATGGTTGGATGGATGCTACGGTTCAGGGTCCTGCCGTTATTGATTATGCATGGTGGCACGGTATGATTGACTCGTATACAAGAGATGTCTTTCATCAAGAGTGGAAATCGTGCTTTGACAACTGGAATGACCAACAGGACCGAAGCGAGCCACCTCCGTTTCATTCCTTTACATTACCCGATGAATGTGGCATTATGGAGGCCATACTGGCCGCAGCGGGGCGTGACGTCCTTCCGGATGGTCTTTCACCCAATGAATACGATGTAACGACATTTGACCCGTACGCCGTCATTGGCGGACACGACACGACATTCACCAAGTTCATGAATCACCCAAAGGTCAAAGAGGCCTTGAATGTTCCAGAGGATAGTGCAGAATGGGTGGGGTGCATACAGGGAGCAGGTAGAAGACGACAACTAACACAATTGAGACAACTGGCACTATTGGATCAAGACAAACCAGTCTCCGTAGTTCCATATGTTGCAGAACTGCTCGATCGATGGAACATTCGGGTTCTCGTCTACAACGGGGACGATGATATGAGTACCAATGCTCAAGGGAGCGAAGTACTCTTGAACCAGATGCAATGGAGTGGTCACAAAGCTTGGAAGGTAGCTTCCCGAGGGATTTGGATGCTACGGAACAAGACTGTCGCTGGCTTCTCCAAAAAATATGGAAACTTGACCTTTCTTGTCGTGAAGAACAGCGGTCATTTGGTGCCATTGAATCAACCATTGCAAGCGCTGGATTTGGTGGAGAGGTTCCTGCAAAACCAACCGTTTTGGGATATTCCCCTGCCATCCTTTGTTTTGTCGTCTTCGTCAAAAACCCTATCCGGGTCCGCTTCGTGGCCATCACTAGATGGTGGCGAGCACGACAACATCAATAAGCACAGAGGCCACCGTGGCAGACTCTGGAGATGGGTTCTGGGGCAGTTTGCGTTTGCAGTGGTCTGTTTTGCTGCTGGAGCCATGGCGGCGCGCTCATGGCGCCGACAAGGCTACCAGCAGCTACAAAGGTCAGACACAACCAAAGTTTAGGCAGCATGCCAATGCGTCATGTGCAATCATCGGCGTTGGTAGGTAACGCCTACTCCACCTCCAAGCAGCTCGTCGAAGGACCCCACCTCTCAGGACAACCAAGTGAGTCAACTTCCATGTGTCGGAAACTCTCCACAAAATACCCACAACTGCGGTTCGTGACGTCTTCGGCAATGGAAACATCAAGTGCTCAATGGGCTCGACACCGTCCTGCCAACGACAAGAATGCGTACTAATAAGGAGATCAGACTGCGTTTAAGTTTTCCACTCGAGTCTATTTTATCTGAGTTTCTATTACAGTGGTGGACTTGGGTTGGTCGGTCTGGATGGTACCGGTATTGTTCTTGATCTTGCTTGGCGCGTGTTTATGCATTTAAAGGATGTGATTTCTGTCTAATGTACTGGGCATGGTTTGTCTTGTTTGTACTTGGATGTGTATTAGCTAAGTTGTTTGTTCCCTTATCCATGACTGCCCCTGGCGTTGTACCGGTAGTTGTGTCATTGTTGATTGTTGGTTTGCTTGCATTGGAAGTTGATGAAATAGCAAGCCGGTGCATGTTTTTTCTTGGTGGTCGGACTGTCACTCTTCATGCTCAAGACGAGCATCAGTCACGGCTACGATCCCTTGCGAAGACGGTCCCGAGATTCATACTTCGATAGCCGTGACATGTTCGCTCGAGTCATCTTCGTTGTCGCTTGCCACGGTGGGATTGACCGCATCCAATAGGTCGCGAAGATTCTGATAAGCATTCATTTCCGGAGTGATGCTTCTCTCAAGCACCAGCAAAGTGGCAGAAGCGTGAGAACGAGGCGATCCTTCTTTTCCAATGCTGGTGCTGTCGTCTTCAAGAAGGACATCCTTCAATGCCAAAACCAGAGCCGGACGTTCGACCATTTTCGTGGCCGTGTCATGGACTGCGAGGTTGTTGATGGCAGCAAAGGCACGAGTCTGAATGCTGGGGTCAGGGTCATTCAATGCCACGTCCGTCAAGGCATCGAGCACATGGCCATTGCGGTATTCGCAGAGTTGGATTTTGGTTCGACGTGGCGCGGCTGCCAGGTTTCGCAAGGCTCCAACGGCGTGGCACCTCGTCTGTGTGAGGATCCCTTTGACTGTCTTGCTGCTATTGAGAGCCGGTGCCTTGCGATGGACAGCCAGTTGGGTCAGCAGCTCGACCAATGCTAGGTTGTCTGCGAGAGGTATCTTATTCTCTGGCTTCCAGGATAGGTTAAGAAGGGCCCTCGAGGAGAGGGCACGAGAGCGAAGGACCTCCATGGTGACTTCCATGGGATCATCAGGGTGTAGGGCGCGGCACCCAACACGAACGAGGGATCGGACCAAACTAGGAGTGCACATCATCATCTGCATGCTCTCCGGATTGCATGCCAAGTTGCCCAAGATCCACAAGGCCGACAGACGCGCCTCCCAGGGGACGGATTCGTGGGGTTGGTAGTTGATCAGGTTCAGCATACCACGGACGAGTCCTGGGAAGAACGCCATGGGCTTGGTAGCCTTGCCGACCCGTGCAAGATGTCCCATGACCTTGGTGGCCTTGAGAATGAGAAAATTGCCTTCGGGGGTGCCCTCCTTGAGATAGAGAGGTGTTTCATGACTTTGCGTTGGAGTGGTAGTGCCAGTATTGACGTTTTGGCCATTGTCTCGATTTTCCTTGGTTGTGTGGTCCTCACCCTTCTCGTCCTTGCTCTGATTCTCATCGATGGGTCTGAAGACGTTCTTGTCGTCTCCAGCGGAGCTGGTTTGATGATCTGCCTTGTACTGGTCAGCTGAAACTCTGCGGCTGTTCAGTTCATCATCAATGACAGTCACCAAGACATGCAATAGATCAGGGCCAATCTTTAGAAAAGACGCCCCAATTGCTTCGTCACCGGCGCGATACACCATCTCCAAAACCTCCAACGCCGTGCACACTTCCTCGACGAGTGATTGGATATCCTCATCTTCCACGGGCACCAACAACTGAGTGGTGGCACGACACCGGGAGACTTTGAGAACCAAGAGGACCAACTGCTTCACCAATGCCACGTCAATGCCTGCAGCAATCTCATCGTTGTGCGCAGCTGCGTCATTGTGATCTAGAAAGCTCTTGGCCCGCTTGAGTACAGCCATGCGGTCGTCTCTCAGGCTACTAGTACCAATTTCTTTGGACCGTAGCGTGTGCATTAAAAGAGATGATGTGAGACGGGCAAGCACGACACAAAACCACTTTAGAACAGAAGGAGAACTCTCACTCACCATGTACCAGTCGTCGGGTAGACAGAGAGGGATCCATCCTACGTCGCTTGTGAGGCACCTGTATGCTCACAGTCCGCATATCTCCACTACTGCGTTTTCGGAGGATACCGTTGCTATCCTTGCGGATGATCCCATTGCCACCCCCAATGCCTTCATAGCTTTCCTTGTTTGACTTTTCCTCGGAAAACTTGGAGTTCTTGCCGTTGTCATCCGTATCCATCCATATGGTCAGGTCCGGATGAGACGACTTGAAGTCACCTTCTAGCATTCGATTCGCCATGGAGCTCAACGACCCGCTGCTTTTCAGGAGCTCAGCGAGGCTGTTGTTGCTTATCATTCAGAGAGATTTTCGGTTTCGATCAGGGTTGATGGGTTCAAGACGGTTCTTGAGATTTTGTGTTTTATGTCAACAATGACTTGGGACTTGGAACTGGCTTCCTGAGTGAGACTCTTCCTGACTGGTTTGTTTAAATTTGCATTCCTGATGGAAGGATGATGTTTGCATGTCTCGGGCACGCACGGCCCAAGACGATGAGGTTGAAGGTGTCACCAAAACAACTCCGATGATGGTGCAAGATTCAGCGCATGTATGTGATGAATTGCCGTGGATGAGTGGGGTGAAGAACGATCACATCAACGCTTACCAATCAATGCTGGTTGGTTGCCTGAAGGGAAGCATGGGCCAATCGTATGAGCAGCTGTTGACACTCGTTGTCATCGCCTCGCGGAGAGGGATCGCTTTTCTCCTGGGAAGCACAGAGCCTTCCCCCGAAGTGTCAAGAACCCCCTCTAGCTATAACACACGACTGTGAATGAAACTTCAATAATTTATTCGCGCGAAAAGCTGCCAAGTATCTTTGCAAGAGTCACGAGTCGAGTGAGTCTTTCGATTTGCAATTAGATTTCGACAAGCTGAATAGCCATGACCTACAAGCTAGAGCTACTAGGAGTAGAGCTCCAGCAAGCTACATTCTCATGAACAACCTTCCTTGAACGAAGTCAAGGCGTCGAAGATTTCCAACCAAATTTCTCTGGCGCCATCTCACAAAACGAAATGTTCACTGCAAAGATACCGATTCCTCGACCGAAGCTCTGTTCCTTTTGACGCACTCAATCATAAAATTCGATCCTAGAAGTTTACGTTTTCAATCATGGAGCTTTTTGATTTGGCACTCTGTACCAGTAGTTCCAGTGTTGGAAAATGTGGAAGAGGCAAATCTGAGTTGCTTCTTGTCTTGGACTGCAGAGGGACTGACACTCGGCATAATACATTACTTGGAGCGATACCGGTATATGGTATATGCAACTTGGCAGCAGAAAGATTCCACTTACTAGCTAGGAACGATGCATGTGAACATTTTTCCATTGACCATTAATCTTTTCCCAAATCCGTGTCTCGCAACTCTTTGTGATCTGGGGCGGTCCATCCAACGCAGTACCCTCCTTATCGAGCTTGTAGGACTGGTTGATGCGAACATATGACACCACCACAGCAACATCTTGTCCCAACGGTCTCACATGTACACCACTCATTGTAACCGTAGCTGGAGGTGCTTTTGGTTGGGAGGGTGGCAGATCAAAGAAAAACTTGTGAAAGGATTGGCCTTCCACAAGATGCCCAATACTCTCGGGCTCAAAACAAGTCACATTCTCCGCCGTTAGACTCCTGTATGTTTCGAAATCGCCGGAGGCGATAGAGTCCAGAAGCTTTTGATTCAAAGCTATAAAGAATCCTTCATCTGTCATTTTTAACACAATACAATCTCAACTACTGTACCGTTGACTTGCTTGTAATAGGCGGATCGCCCCTCTTCTTCAGTTGTCTTTCGCTACTCCTGCAGCAAGCTGCCAACTGCCAACGTGCCAAAGAAATGAATTAAAAATCAACCAACTCCCTGGAAACAATGTCTTCAAAGTGGCTGTGGTTGAGGTCAAAAGACAATGGGATTTTTTAATTTTTGGAGTTGCAGCCAAATAGCCAGCCAGCCAAGGACTCCCACAATGATGGTAGCGCATCGAACTCAGAGTTCCTGAAGCAAGTTCTGCTCTCTCTTGCCTTGAGCTTCATTCTCGCACTTTCATCCCTCCTGTGAAAGAAAATAAAGAAAATTCGACTGGCGAATCTTCATCTATCCTCCATCAAATCGAATACCGGAGCTCCTAAATTGTAGAACCCGCCCCAGCCCGCGAACTTCGCTCCTTTGGTTTTACAGCCTCATCATCAAGTAAGTGATCCCCATGCCACAGGATGACACCAAACGCCAATCAGATAACCTGGCAAGTTCGATTGTCTCTGCCAAAGGCACTTTCACTTTTGGTTCATTGGTAGGTTGCTTCTCTGCCACCTTGATATGCATAGCTGATACAGTACCGGTAGTGCCAGGCACTTCATTCCCTCTCCTACTATAGCCTGGTCAGCTCACTGAAATGCGAAACCAGCAAAGCGGTTGCGACTTACGAGTGAGCTTGAGCTACATGTACATGGCGCACGGTGCGTGCCTACCGGTGCAGTCACCGGTAAGCACTTGTCTATTCGCATACCGGTAGGAGCTCCGGTAGGTCGTACGAGACTCCAACCATCCCGACCCCGCAAATTCCGCCACAAGGTTTGTTGAGCACTTCCTAGTCGAGCTATGCATAGCTACTAGCTAGCTAGCTAGGGTACCACTTGATTGACTTTGACCTGAAGAATCTTCTTACTGATGAAGAAGCAACTGATCATACTGGAGCACTACTAGAGACTCAAGCTAGTAGATCGGGGCTGGATAGAACATGCTTTATCACGGTAGGCTTAGGCTCACCACATACATTTTCTATTGCCCAATTTTCCTGGTACCAATTAGGATTACTACTTACTTCATGTATGTAGTACAGTACCTTTGCTGCTTCCGGTAAAAACGCGTCCTTCCGAGCTGAAGCGTTGGCCAGTGGTGGCTTATTTTCACTGGTATAAACCAAAAGCAAAGATCGACTTCGAAGCGCGACTTTGAAAGATGGCTTCCGGTTGCGCAGTCAAGCTCGTGCCACGACGCGCCACCAACAACCGCTGCAGGTTCTAGTTGAATCCTGGATGTGGGATTTCTGAAGTTCTAATGACTGAGAACGTCACCGACGTACAAAATAGGCCAAAGTTTGGGTCACACTCAGATGCGGTAACTGTGATTCAGCTATTTGCTAAGTGATCATGGTACAGGTTTAGTGTAGGGGTAGAGCCGAGGTTGTACAATTTAATAATGACTGTTCCACTATGCCCCACCACTTGGAAAGTGCACTTTAGAAAGAGTATGCCAGCTTTTGTTCTCCACGTAAAACTTATCGTGCACTGGCAGCCACCGTTCCAGTGGCATCAAATATTAATTAATTAAGAGGGAAGCGAACTCCTTTAAGTGTGAACTTCAAGTGTCGAGCTTTTGTCTAGTAATCATTTAGCTGTACTTAGTTCTCCTAAGTAGGCAGTTGCTTGGTGGGTGGTAGAAATAAGTAAACAGAAGCGTTTGAACAAGATACACTCTGACGCGTGACGGTGAAAAATAGAGCAAAAAGCTGAGCTAAAGTAGTTACCAGTGCGGGCTACCGGCGACACAGAGAGATAACTAAAAAGCACAAGTGGTTTTAACGTGGGTTTTGTACTTACTCTGGCCTTAGGAGCATTCCTAACCAGTCATTTTGAGCCATTTATTCGTCCGTGCGTACGCGAAATCAAGTTAACTGTAAAAATCGGCTCGCTTTCCCTCTTTTTGCCCATTAATTTCGGTACGCCGTATCAGTAATTTTGCATTCTCAATTCGCCGTACCGAAATTAATGGGGAAAAAGAATTCGCGTAGGACCAATCAGAACGTTAGAGCCAGCCGAACTCATCCCCAACTCTAGCGAGTTCGAAAATCATCAACCCACCAGATTCTGCCAAAGCGCAATCACCGTACGTCAGGAAAACTCGTGAAAATCGCATATGATTGTTCTTTGATAGAATCTCGTGGGTTGATGATTAGATAGCCTCTTGCATGTGGATCCACAGGCAATCCCATGTGCATCCATTTGTGGCTCCTATTTCACCACAATTTCCCTTTTTTTGAGTTCTTCCTCTCCCCGTAATCGAATCGAATTCCACCGCACTCCCCACCGTTGTCGTTGTCGTTGTCGTTGTCGTTGTCATGGCTTCAGATGATAGCGATGGCTCTAGCCTTGATATAGAACGGAGAATGCGGGAGTCTGATGAGCGGCACAAGAGGAAGAGAGACGAAGAGGAAGCCGAAGTATTGGCTGCAGCCCCAGTCATTCCAGTCGCAACAGCAGCCTCAATTCCCACAGCGGCAGCGGCAAACAGAAATTACCTTGATGGTGGGCGTCCACGTCTTAGCTTGTGGGATCTTCAGCAACAACGCCAGATGCAGATGCAGCAACTCCACCAACAGCGAGCCCTTACAGTGCCGCTACCACCGCTGCCTTATTACGAAGATCCGATTGCCCAAGACATGTACATGGGACAACTCAAAGCGCAAGAGTCACGGGAGCGGCCGCCACGGTATCGTGCTGCTAGCTCCCCTTCGCCTGCTGTCCGTTCTAGGTCTGCATCCCCGGCTGTCCGTTCTGCATCCCCGGCTGAGCGAAAGGCTGAGCGAAAGGTCATCAAGGAAGCAGCGAAGGCCGAACAAAAGAAGAAGAAAGAGGACGAGAAAAATGCTAAGAAGGCAGCCGACGCTAAGCAGGCACAGCGTATCAAAGTTGTGATCGACAAGTACGACCCTTGAAAAAGCAAATTGTCTGCGGGGAAGAAGAGAATCCAGCGATAAGGAGATGTACCGTGTGGCCAAGACGTTGGTCTACGACAAAGGGGAACCAAAACGAAATGACATTTGATCTGGCAAAATTCACTAGCACACAGATCCGTGAGCTTTGTCTGAAGTGTCAAGTCAAGGGAGGAGGCAACATGAAAATGTTCGATGCGAGGAAGGAGATTGCCCGAAGTATTGAGATGGGAACCATGTACAACGACAAGACAGTTTCAAACCTTGCGTTGGACCCCTTAGCTACGAAGATCAATACTCTCGTCAAACTCATGAATATCTGCTTCCACCCTTCTATTTACCCTTACTTCGTCTCCCTCAACGACAGCAATAATCGAAAGGACTTCGAACGGGAGCCTCTTTCACAGCAGGGTGTTACCGGAAATCCATTCAAGGACTTTTGGCTTCTCGTTTCAGAGCACCTGAATGAGACGAATGAGACGGTTGGTGAAAAACAATTTGACGCCGTCTTGGGTCTCCAGGAGGGGGAAGACGAACATCTTTTGGCGTATAGTAGCCGGCTTCGGTTTCAACTTAAATGACATTGACCGTGGCCAGACGAACAAGTCAGTTCAGCGGCTGGTGAGCGACATGATGAAATCCAGGGACAACTGTCTCGCGCAAATGAAGATATCGGGCGAGCATAGCAATGACATATGGACTTATTGCATTGTGAAGAGGTGGTGTATTCCTCGGAAGGGAATGGCGGCCGTACCTGCCATAGCGGTGTACTATTGTGACTATCTCTGCAGACTCCATCCCACATTATAGGCAAATTTGCGACGTTTCTCGAAGACAGTTTGAAGAGTGATTCCACGGTCGATATGACAGGAACCGCTGATGCCGCCTCCGGTAAAGGCACCAAACTAGCTGTGGCAAACGTGATGGAATCACTCACCAGCGTAGGTACCGACCTGAAAGAATCCATTGGCCAAAGGAAAGAGAATGCGGAGGATGCGGCGGAAACGAATCAGTGGGACGGCTATTTGGCCGTGGGCAACCAATACCTGAAAATTGTGGAGGAAATAAAAAGCGGTGACTCCTCCAAGGCTCCCCTTGCGAGAGTCATGGAAATTCGACTTGGTCGACTCGAAAAGAAGTTGAACATTCCGGCCAAATCTTCCCTCATTGTCGGAACGGAATAATAATATGTAGGAACGGAATAATATATAGGTGTGATTACTGTGTTACGATTCTTCTTCCCTTCTACGTTTTTTGTTGCGTGACGGTCTTTTCAGCTGTAGGCGCTTGACTCTGTTGGCCATGAATTCCCGTAGGTACGACATCCCTCACAGCTCGAATAAACATTGTCGAGTCGTACAGGATCACCATTCACATCATGCGGAACACTGGGAATGTAGCCAGTGCCGTTCACATTGGTGGCAGGCTGTGTATGTATGGCAGCCCCATCGGATATCCCGGCAAAGCCGTCTATTGCACTCTTTATTTCCTGTTGAGTACGGGGGAATCGAATCTTCAACTGCGGACACTTGCATAATGCCGTAATTGTCTTCCATAGGACTCGATAGAACGAGCTTTGTGAAATTCCAGCGATGTCCGTAATATCAAGGTAGGAGCCACCGGCCAAGTATCTAATCGTACAGTAGAGGCACAGTTCGGGAATGATGGAACCACCCCTTCGCACGTGCAATACACGGCTCTTAGCCTTATTCGCGACTCGATCCTAGATAGGGTTGAGTTCGACTCATGACCGAGCTTCCTCGTGAATAGTCATTGAGACAGGGTTCTCAATACCGCTCTAGTCATACTAGGTCGAGATGAAACATCGCTCTAGATATTTAGCCAGCGTGGAGACTTCCACGCTACTAGAAAATGCTAGACGAATCTTCCACGCGTTCCGTTTTGATCGTGAGTGAGTAGGATTCTACCACAACCTACTCTATCACATCTACAGTTTCCGCGGGAGTTCAGACCTACGATCTTTGATTGTGATCTCTCTCGTTGATTAGTTTTTCATAGCTTTCTAATCCTCTCATAACTTCATTCCTCAAACTCAAAACACTCGAAAGATCTTTACACTAGCTTTTAGCGTAGTGCATTTTGTTAACAAAACACAATAGCTTTCACTACCCTCAACCTATTCCTCACCATGAAGATTGCCAAAGACGCATACACCAGCTTCGAGTCCAAGCTGCGTGACAAACCAATCCTTCCTCTCATCGACTCGATGATGAATGCGAAATGACGATTCTCGCTCTACACCTACAAAATTCGCACTGTTCCAGCAGATGCTAACACGCCAAGTACACCTTCAAGGTCCAGATCATTCATGGATCTGAGACTCCACGTCAGAAACATCAAGTGGGCTGGACGCATGGAGAAGTCTTCGTTGGGCTCGCCATTGCTACGACTACCGAAAACATAACCCCCTCAGGAGATGACTTCTGCTCTCCAAAGAGCAGTTACGAATCTAGTGTGCAGGCATCGTGAAGTACGTTGGAATGCTTTTCGCCAGATTGCAGTCAACGGGTGCTCCACGCGATGTACTTGGCGGCGAGACGAAGCCGCTTTCCAAGCGTTACGTTTCAGGCTGCCTGAAACGGAGCAGATCAGCCTGCTTGTGGACGATGTTGACATTACGTTTGGCATAAAGCCTGTATCGAAGCGGTCTGTCCCTAAAAGGCTCTTGAAAAGCAGAAAACGCTCATGCGCCGCAAGATGCGTAGGCTGCTTGATATGTCCTACATCGGAGCTTAATGTCAACAACTCC